TGCATGAGTTAATGCAAATAAAAAAGGTTTATGAAAATAAGCGAGGCCGTTTTTCAACCGTATAAAATGTATATGCACATATTCTTATATACATATTTATCAAAATATTCAGAATGACGAAATGAATTGGATCAGTCTTGCCTGTTTGTAAACACGCTAACTCGAACAAAATTTAGATATTTTACCGAAAGTCGTTGCCGAAGTTGCATTTGGTATAATTTAGGTTAGTATTAAATTTTGGCGAAATCTGCCAATAACCACGACCACCTCCCATGTAGTAATCAACAATATTTATACCCGAGCGCACTTGTGCACAAGGGTATATTAATTTTGTTCACATAACGGTTGTTTGTAACAGCCAAAACGAATCGAGATAGATATAGACAAATGTATACATATATGCTCAGAATGAATAGAGAAATCGATTAAGCCATGTCTGTCTGTCCGTCCGTCTGTCCGTCTGTCTGTCCGTCCGTGTACACGATAACTCGAGCAAAAATTGAGATATCTCAACGAAATTTGGTATGTAGGTTTCTGTTAATCCAAGGTAGGTTGGTATTGAAAATGGGCGAAATCTGACAGTAACCACGCCCACTTCCCATATAACGGTAATTTCCAGAAATACGAAAACTGCGATATTTTAGAAACTACTGAAGATAATTCACTCAAAATTGATATTTGTAATAATTTTTAGACGAAAAATGAGAATATTATAAATTTTTGGAAAATGGGCGTAGCCACGCCCACTTATGGTTACATGTGTATATCTTGGTAACCGCTGCACCAATTTCTTCCAAGCTTGGCACAGTTATTGGCCTCGATACAGCATACTAAATGGCCGAAAATTTAAAAAATCGGACAATAACCACGCCCACATCCCATATAACGGTAATTTAGAGATATACAAAATCTTCGATAAATCAGTAACTATTAACGCTAATTTATTCAAAACGGATGCTTGCAACAATTCTTTACCAAGAAATATGCTTATGGTAAAATTTTGGAAAATGGACGTGGCACCGCCCACTTATGATAACATATACGTATATGGGTAACCGTTATACCAATTTGTACCAAACTCGGTACGGTTATTGTGCTTGCCACATAAAAGCCAATTATTAAAAATTATTGAATTCGGGCTAAAATTACGGCCGCTTTTCATATAACGGTAAATATCAGAAATGCTTGAAACTGCAATATTTCGCAATTTAAGGACGCTACTCAAAATTGGTACACCCCGGTTTACCATCTAGCGGTAGCTTTCGGAAAGGTGAAAAAACATATATTTAATACTTGCGCCGGGTATTTAATGTTCGGCTCCGCCCGAACTTAGACTTTCTTACTTGTTTTGTTTTATTATTTTCTTTTTTACCAATTTCGCTGTTAAAATTTACATTTCAAATATATCAACAAACATTTGTGGGTACTTTTGCACCAGTCATTGCCTATGGGTTAATGACAAAAGAATCCCATACATGCACAATATTTCATGTATTAATTTTCAAATAGGCATATTGTCAATGGCTGGTTTACTGTATACCAAGGCACATTAAACAGGTAGTATCAGTAGAGCAAAAACAACATTTGCGTGTATTTTGTTGTTGCTTCTGGTATCGAAAGTGTCAAAAACTGTTCTGAATTTTTTCTTCTAAATCAAAGCGTGCCATGTGAAATACCAAAAAATTATAAAAAATAAAAAATTGAAATTTGGAAAAAATAAAAATTGATGCAACTTTCTTTCCTAGTAAATTTGTTTGCTTCTCGAAGCATTGATCCATCCTTTACAAGGGCCAGTAATCAGCGGTTGTGCTGCTGAGTTGGGCGAACGTTCAAAAAGCTGCTATTCAATCGCTTGTTTTGTATGGAAAAAGGTTTCACATGCAAATGGATTTTAACAATTCAGAATTTTTGTGAAAAAAAATTAAAAATATTTGACATTTTCGAGACCAAATAATTTGAAAATAAAGCAAATCAGCTGCTCTACTGATACTACCTGTTCAATGTACCTTGCTGCATACTTTGGTTTTGATGTTATTTATTTGTTTATATATGTACGTGTATTTTCAACACATGTTTATATGTTAGTCCAAAAATTTTACAAATATGTGATTGTTTTATTATTGTTTGTAGAACTTTTTACACATTTTTATACGTTCATACTAATTTTTAAAAATTGTATGTATATTTACATGTTGATGTAAAAATAAAAGGAGAAAAAACGCTTCTGAAGATGCTAAGAAATTTAGCGAAACGTCGGGTTAAAACGTGAAG